AAGTGTTTCTCCACTTACTAGGTCACAATTTTTATGTAGGTCGTAATATGCTGATTAAAAAACTATTGTTTTTTTCTTAATTAAATTGTTGTACTATTATTTATTCATTCATTAAATTTAAAAACGCCAAACTCTGAAGTTTACTGAATCAGTTCGCCATGGTGGGATGACTAACGCTGACCTAAATCTCAGCATCTTAGCGAATTCAGCCGCGCAAGTCTAGGAAATAAATTACTAGGGTGACGACGCGAACTTTTTTTATTTTATGTGCATCGAGGAATAAAGTTTGCGAAATTCCCACAAAGTTTCTCACCGTAAAAAAATAACATGCTGCTAAAAGTCGCTAGAAATTGATAGTCATAGTTGATGAAACAGTAAACAGGCAAGAAGACGTTTTACAGCTCCAGCCGAGCAATTTAGGCCTATTTATAATAACAATACCGTACGTTAACTCGGTAGTGGTAAGGTGGGTTCTAAGCTTATTAACTCGTATGTATCCAATAACTAATCTGTGAGCTGTTGAAGACTGATTGGAATCAAATGTTGACTTTGGAGGGAATTGTAAACACAATAAAATATAATATGTATATTCATATAATAGTTAGGGTTATGTTAGGCCAGGCTCGACACTATACTTTTTTTTTAGTGGCCCGATTCGGGCCACCAAATCAGTTGATCTTTCAATTTTTGGGTGCCCGAAAAATGAAATCTTGGTGGCCCCATAAAAAAAACATAAGAAAAAACATTATAAATCTTTATTTTCAATCTCGTATTGTATATTATTTGAAAATTGGGACCGTCTGAGTGCACTTGCCACAAGTCTTTAAGGGACAGTAGCCTCTAGGATTTTTACTGCATACAACTGTACTTACTGTATAACAAATCGTCTTCATACCCACATGTATTTGTCACCAGATACTTAATTAAATTATTTACACAATCAACGCTAGCGAAATTTGGAACGCCACCATGACACCCCGCGACCGTGCTGCCACCGCTGAAAAAGTTTGCGTATTTTGATTTTTACTTTTGCAGGGTAAGATGACCGAGACTAATCACAAATTCATTATTATACCCTAAATGCTATTATAACGAACGATATTCATTTTTATAGCGCGCAGAATTTATCCATATTATATACTGAAACTATATTCGTTTATAGATATTACAATCCTTTTGTTTTAAATGGATAAATAAGACATACCCATCGGGTCTGTAGCCCTTGGCTGGGAAAGTGGTTTTGCGCAACTTCTCAGATCCTGTGCGCTGACGTGCCGCCACCGTCGTTGTATATCAACTGTTATGTCGTTAGTTTTTAAAAATTTTTTAAAATCTTTCTAAAGGTGGATTGAACCATGAAACTTTTATGTAGCGCAATATTAACCTAAATTAGCCTGAAAATAACCCTAGAACCTAGCAGGTACTGTTCCTTTAAACAAACCCACACAATGGCACCACTGACATTGATGATTGAGGGATTTTACATTTGAATTATCCATTCCACGGCATCAATTTCACCAGAATCTTTTTATTCATACCATTTTCTTTACTTTCACTCATTATTTATCTAAACACGCAGCCGTGCACAGTGCTATCGATCCAGTTCAGACGTTCAAGAAGATCAAAGTCACAGAGATGCCAAATATTAAACAAGTAACTGCCTAATAAAACCAACAACACTTGGCTTTTCATGTTAAACTAAAATTTACATTTAATCTCAATGAAAGTTAAAATGGTCTGGCAGGCTTTGAAACTGTAAAAAATAAAATATTGCAGATTTAATAAGATATAAAGTAGAACCATATATATATCAACAAAGTAGCCTGGTCGCATGCCATTTCAAAAGGGAAAAGCAGCCATGGACTAAGTTCAAATATTTTCGTTGGTAAAGAGACAGAGAAAATGTCCATATAAACTTACCAAAGCACTAATATTACACCTTCGCGATTACAAATACTGATCATTTCATTGAATAGTTCAGTATTACTACGCGAACTTTCTCGAACGCTTGGCGTTTTCGCTGCGGATCCGAAACAGTGAGCAACCAGTGCAGACTAGTAGCAATCAGGTGACCAGACGTCCCGTATTTTGCCCATGTTCCCGCGTCCCGATCCGGACCCTTCCCGGGACGCATTGTGTGTCCCGTATTTTTATATTGTTGAACAAACTTACATCAAAAAGGAAGAAATTTCGCATCACTTTTTTTATTATGCAATTGTTTGCCTGCGAAACTCTATCGTCGCGTTCATTTCACACACGTTCATTTTACTACGCTTCGATTACACACGCCTCCAACCAGTACACTGCAGACAGGGTATTGTCTAGACGCATTGTCTGCGTTCGCTTGGATACAGTGTAATCACATGTATGCTGACGCTTTGCAAATATGCTATTGGCCTGCCGCCCGCCTCAGATTTTGACCTCTGGCCTAGACTGGTTCGCGGCGAACTGTTCGTGCAGAGCGTGTACATTGTCTAGCAGAGCGTGAGGACGGATTACCAATTATACAAGTAAGTGGCTTGTTGCAGCCGAGTGACGGATAACCGTGCGCCCGGTGTATGCCGCGCGGTAGAATTCTTGCAGTGCGTACGTGGTCCCTCGCTCCGCGAATGCTCGCTTCTCTTTTGATGAGGATTGCAGTATAAGACATTATTTTTATCACATAGACATTTGAAATTTTAGTGGGTCCCGATCGGCCACCAAATTTCACACTTTTGCAAATTTTGGGTGGTCCCGACATCAAGTTTTTTTGGTGGGCCCGCGCCACCGCGGCACCGTAGTGATCGAGCCTTGCCGGTTTAAGGGTTAGGCGTTAGGCACAAGCTGGTTTTTTGAGGACCCATGTTCTCTATCTGTGGGCCGTCAGTCTCATTGATACACATATGTCACATGGTCACCATGGCCAAATTAGACCACAGGCACTTGAAGCGTTCAACTGTAAACACACGGCGCCGCATGCGCGTACACTAAGACACATAATATAGAGTCATAGAGTCATAGAGAGACTATAGAGTCATAATATGCTCAAGGGGTCGTTGTCGTAACAGGTTTTACAGATATGTACCCATACGTACATTTATGTTACACAAACGTGTCCAGACTTGTATACCGAAGTGTCCCTACCCTAACTCCTAACCCTAACCCTAAATCCCTAACTCTAACCCTAACCCTAACCAAGGCATCGCACTATGCGGTGCGGCCGGTGGCCCAGGGGCCCAAAACTGATGTCGCGGCCCAGCCAAAATTTCCAAAAGTGAAATTTTGTGGCCCGTATCGCGGCCACTAAAATTTCAAAGTGTCTATGTGCAATAAAATAAATTGGTTTCTTATCTAAATCTCATTTCAAACGAGACGAGCAATTCGCCAGAGCGACCGGGCACACGTACGCACGTGCAGCATTCTCTGCGGGCACGGTTTAATGATACGTCAGCGCGTGTTTTGATAAATAATGATGGAAGAGAAAAATGGTATGCGCAAGATTTTGTTGTGAAAATTTGATGCCATTGGAATGGGAATAATTCTAATGTATGCCTCAATCATCAATGCAGTGTGTGACTTATTGTGTGGGGATGTTTAAAGAACTTTGCAACGTGATCAGACGGTCTCCCCCAATTTTCAAATAAATATACAATACGGAGATTGACTAAAAGATTTTATAATGTTTTTTTCTTTGTTGTTTTTTTCGGGGCCAACCAGATTTCATTTTCGGGCCACCAAAAATTGAAAATTCAATGATTTGGTGGCCCGGTCGGGCCACTGGGAAAAAACAGTTAGTGCGAGGCCTTGCCTTAACCCTAAACAATACCTCAATATAAAAATATAAAACATAATTACTAAACACTAAACTCCTCGTGGTACATTCTGTAGTTACCTGTTACGACAACGACCTTCGTGCCATAATAATAGAGTCATAATAAATACACTGATATATATGTGTACGTGTACCGCGCGATGGCGGGCGTATGTTACTGTGATACGCTTTCAAGTGCTGTGACATAGTCATAGTCTGAGAGTGATTATTATTTATTGGTAGTCTGAGTTAGCTCTACTAGCCTCTTAGTACTACTAACTGCGTACAGTTTCCGCTGGCTACGCTTACGCTGGAGAGGGTCTATGTCCCCGGCCGGCTACTGCCGGAACGGTACCTGGCGTACGAGTCCGGTATACCGGGAAGTACCCTGGACGTTCTAATATGCGAACCGTCACTCGCCCTTACGTCCACTAACGACTCGAGTCTAGCGAAGACGCTCGCCTACGGCCTCTCCCTAATCCGTTGGGTGTGGGACAGGTTAACTGTTTGTATTGTGTACATTGCGTGCAGTGCATGCATTGCACGGTAAAAATACACGCGCCGGCCAGTGTCCTGGTCGAATGGGAATTCTTGACGATCGATGATTCCCGCGCTGGCAAACTTTTATTGTGGTGGAATTTAATCGGGGCGGAGGTAATTTAAACGGGGCGCAACGATTGAAACAGGGGGGAGTTTTCCCAAACGGGGCGCGCGCCCCGTTTGCGCAACGTAGGGAGAACCCTGCCGTACCCAGGGTACGTTCCGGCAGTACCCCGGGTGACATAGACCCTCTCAGCGTAAGTGTAGCCAGCGGCAACTGTACGCGAGTTATAGTACTAGAGGCTAGTAGAGCTAACTCTAGACTAGCCAATAAATAATAATCACTCTCATGACTATGACTATGTCTATGCCATGTGACATGTGACATATGTGTATCACTGAAACTGACGGCCCAAGGATAGAGAACATGGGTCCCAATAAAACCAATGTGACTAACCCTAACCCTAATTCTAACCCTAACCATAACCCTAACCTATTATATTGATATAATATTATATTTATATTGATGTAAATGACATTGGTTTTATTGCCCGGTTTTATTATTGGGACCCATGTTCTCTATCCTTGAACCAAACTGGCCGTGTCAGTGTGTGTGGTGTCATCAGTGACATCACATCAGCGAAGTGCACGAGTGCTGTTTCAACTGTTTGTGTTTACAATTCCTCCAAGTCATTCAATCAGTCTTCAACACTCAACAGTTAATACGAGTTAAAACTTGAGAGATACGAGTTAAAACTTAGATCCCACCTTACCGGTACGTATTGACACTATTGTTATTATCTAGGCCTAAATTGGCTCTGCTGGCTGTACGACGTCTTCTTGCACTGTTACTGTTTCATCTAACTATGATCTACCATTTCTACGGCTTTTACGCATGTTTATTTTTTCACCGTGAGAATTTGTGGGAATTTCCAAACTTTATTCCTAGATGACACAAAAGTTCCGTCGTCACCCTTGTATTTATTTCCTAGACTTGATTGCTGTATCGCTAGATCTGGGATTTAGGTTCAGCGTTAGTCATCCCACGCATGCGAACTGATCGGTAAACTTCAGAGTTTGAGTTTTTAAATTTAATGAATGAATAAATAATAGTACAAACAATTTAATAAGATAAAAACAATATTTTTTAATCACATATACGACCACATAAAATTGTGACCTGTAAGTGGAGAAAACACTTGTAGTGACACCTTGTATCTCTGCATCCATATTTCCCTTCTATCCAACCTGGCGGCGCCCAGTGTCGTTGTTCATATATCGGTAAAAAATCTTTGATCATATCGTGGGATTAAATACACCTGTGCACATGCAGTTAAGGTTGCCGTCTAGCAGTGTAATGTTATATCGTTATATCTTATGTTATGTGTAACTTATGTTATCTATTCATTCTTTGTCAATGTTAAGCCCGGCGCACGTGAGTAATTTTACCAAGTAAAATGACGCATTAGCTCTAGTAGTAACCCGCGTACAGTTGGCTGCCGCAGGCGACTGCGGCAACTGTACGCGGGCTATAGTTACCAGTGTTGTAGTCGAGTCCGCACCCCCTGAGTCCGAGTCCGAGTCCGCACCCCCCGAGTCCGAGTCCGAGTCCGCGCCACTCGAGTCCGAGTCCGAGTCCACACCACCCGAGTCCGAGTCCGAGTCCAGTTTTGATAAAAAAAAAGGGAAAAAATCGGAAAAAGGGAAAAAATCGGAAAAAAGGAAAAACAGGAAAAATCGCAACAGTGCATCGTAGACATTCGAAAGTGTATAGCGATGTTTCACGTGACGTCATAGATCAGGTCACGTGTATTTGTTATGTGTTGTGGTTGGCAGAAGCGAAGCGTGCTGCTTGACATTTACAGATGAATGACCACATGTTCTGATAGAAAGCGCTGTTTATGTAGTGCACGTACACGCGTGCGTGCGTGTGCATGTACACGTGCGTGCGTGCGTGCGTGCGTGCGTGCGTGCG